GAGGCCGTTTTTCGTACGTTATCCCAAATGCAAATTTATGACGGGAATATACGTAAGCAACTCGAAAACAGCGTGTTATGGCTATTGAAAAAGAGTAATGACTTCAGGAGACTTTAGGATATCGTGAAAAAAATCCTATTTGCGCTTAGGCCGGATAACACCACTCAAATTCGAAAGAGAAGGTAGGTTAGATTGATTAATACAAAAGTATTAGAGCGGAATAAGTCATTAATGTGATCTTGAATTCAATTTCTATAGGAAAAGAGGAAAACTAAAGTGAATCAAAATACGTCCGTCTATCCCTCAAATTAGTTTCAAAGACACGGCATAGCTTGTGAGCTCCTTCTCCTGCTAGAAATCTCAATTTATGATGGCGGCTATCTTTGAAGCACATCGTACTGCTAGCGACAAATCGATCCCTATGAGACCTACTAATCTAGATTTTTGCAGCAGTATTTGCGTACGGGTGCAGTTAGCTACCCATCAAGCTGCAACCAAAATGGCCCATTAAAAGTGCAAGATTGTTTTGTCCCAAAATGTACCCCTTGTGCGAAAGGACGAAGTGTGGTTGTTGGAACTGTGGAAGGCGACAGTTGCTGTGTGATTGAACGTCGAACCACCGCAGAGCCACTGCCGCGACGAACCAGCACTCTGCGATCGCCTAAAGTTGTATAAATTCGAGAAAATTGTAGTCACAATGCAATCCTAATGGAATTCGAATTTTTAAGTTGCTTGCCTAAAAAAGCGCTGCTGACCACGTATTCGGACGAATCGTTTTCAAATGTCACCTTCTTCAAGGTGGCTGATCGTGAAATGTCTGTGATTTTCGAAGGCATGGAGATGTTGGACACCTGGGAGGAAAAATACTGTAGAAAGTTTGATGAATGAGCAAATCTAATGATGTAAATAAATAAATAAATAAATAGTAGAATCGTTGAATAAAAAATGCATGATTGAGTGATCAAGTGAATAAACAAAAAATAAATGAATGATTAAATAAATAGATAAATAATTAAGTTTATGGATAAAAGATGGTTGAATAGATAAATAAATGAGTAAATATATAAATGGGTGAAAGAATGACTAAAACCACAAATAAATAGTAGAATGCTTGATTGAATGAACCATTAAATGAATGAATTAGAGAATTTAGCAATGTATGAACAATAAATAAGTAGATAAAAAAGTAATTCTGCCATATTCTCTTTATCTTGTAGTTTCTTGCAATCGTCATACCTTATGAGATTCTTCATTTAGAAGACAGGGCGATATGGCTGATTGAATTGCTTCGCTCGTTCGACGAGATGAGTTTGATGAGCCTAAAAGTTTATTTTCGTAACATTACTTAATACTGTCAAAAAAAAAACAATTTCTCACATAGACTATCATTCCTTGGTGGGCTGCGATTGCTCTGATTACTTGATCGACGGCTTTCACTTGTTGAACTTTCCTGTGGTGATACTCGTCGCTTCACTACTATCGGTCGTTTTGCTCTCCAATTATACTCCTTTTTCGGCTCCGCAGCTTTACCCGCTGTTTCTGGAACTTTGGCCGTACTATGCTCTGCAAATCCGTTCATACGAACTTTATGCATGGCTTCTTTTTCCTGCTGCTCCTTTCTAGAAGATGTGGCCAGTTGCATATCTCTAAATTCTCGCTCTAAAGA